CTCATATTTATCTGAAATATAAATTTAAGAAGATCCTCCCCAAATGTAGGGTTAGAAAAATACTGTATATTATAAACGCAGACAAAAATACCATACGACGCCAGTTTCTCCTGTTTGTGTGCATATCTATAGACTGCTAAAACTCTTGTGTCTGTTGGACTGTTTGTAACCTTCAATTGAGTGAAATGGTGCATCACAGGGCAACAAGTTTGAATCAATGTACCCCAAATGAACTAACTTAAATAATGCATCCAAAATGCAGGACCCATGACTCCTATGAAGATTGAAATTTGGTAAAGTCATGATTTACCAGGGTCATCCTGGTTAGCAAACCATGCAATCATCATTTCCAATTCTCCCTGAGAGCTTCCTAGAATGAAAGTCAATGAGGAAGCAAGCAGGAAGCTACACGTTGCTCCTGATCCCAGAGCTTTTTTCCCTGTGGTGGTCATTGTTTTTCTAAAATGATTATCCAATGGGTCACAGATTGTAATATACATACATACATACGGATACACTGGGAGAGAAAGGAGAGGATAACAATGGAAGGGCACCTATAATGCCAGATCCAGATGTGCAGCCCACAGTGACCATGGAGGGGGGGCATTGGAGAATAGACCAGTGGGGATAACATCAGATGACCAGGGGCAAGAAGGACGGGCAGGACAGATGGACAGGCCAGGAGGGGGGAGAAGGCAAGGAAAGGCAGAATTGACAAGAGTGGGAAGGACAAAGAAAGAAACAACGGGAGGAAAGAAAGTTGTAAAAATGGAAGCCAAGTGAGGGAAGGCAGGACAATTGAGGCAATTACAGCTGATTAGGATGGACAGCCCTATCACATGATCAATGGGCAGGATACTGAGTCAGCAGGGTTTATAGGAAAACTCCCCACCCCCAACACTAACTCTGATGACGCTGGCAGTGGACCAGCGAAAGCTAAAGTTGCTTTAGATTTGTAAGTAGTTGTTTTGTTGTTTTTACGGCTGGTTTATATTCATCCCAGAGTTCGAGGATTTTATGTACATATATGTATATGTATATGCATATGCATATACACGTACACTATATATATATATAGTGTGAACACTATAAATTCAAAATTTTGTGGCTGGCAAGGAGTTAGTGGGAGAATCTGTACAATATAATACAGACATACACACATACACATGCATATTCCTCTCTCCTTGAAGCAATAAGAAAAAAAATGAAAGGGGGGGACTTCTGGTTTGGTTTGAGGATGGGACAGATGGAAGTTGCAGTTTCTCAGTCTGGTTTTGCTTCACCCAGCGCCCCTGAAAGGGGCGGAAAGTTGACCCAGAGGGGCATCAAAGAAAGAGGGACACTTCAGGAGCTTGAATCTGGTGGCGACCGATCTGAGCAAACTGGAGAACCCCTTCTAAAGGGTGGAAGAAAGGCTGCCGGGAGAGCCGAGGCAGCCAAGTCACTCCAGCCGGAAGGGAAGCGCCGCAAAACAGCTGATCTTCAACAACGAGCCAAGTCTGGGTGAGCTGAAGTCTTTTCCTTCTCCTTGAGGATTAAAAACTTTGAGACTCTGATGGGGAGAAGCTAAAAGAGTAAAGAGTAAAGACCCACAAAAAGACTAACTTAAAAGCGGCGAGTAATCATAAGGGGAAAGTGGTTAAAAATATCGGAGAGTGATAAATAAGCCGAACAAACAAACGACAGTATCAAGAAAAGGGGGGAAAAAAAAGAAAAAAGTGTTCTTATTGCAAATGACCTTGACAGATACTTGTGAACAATAGAGTGTCTTGGTCTGAGATTGTAAATGAAAACACTGTTTACAGTTACATTTGTTGATGCTGGCTAAGACTAAACAGACACTAGCTGGAGAAAAAGAATGTTCTAAATTCAGGATGTGACTGGAGGAGGTGGACTTGCCTTACAACAGCTGGTTCCTGTTTATACTCTGGATATTGGTCTAAGACTGTGAGCCACAAAATGAGTACATCAAATATTACCAGACTTGCAAATAAAACCTCTTCTGAGCCCTCTGTGGGACAATCTAGTCCAACCACTCAGAAATCTGTTGGGACAATGTTGCAATGTGAGAAAGCAAGCACTGCTCAAGATGAACTGCAGGCCTCATTAAAACTGATTCAAGAGATGATGCAAAAAAGTCAGGAAGTAACACAGAAAAATCATGAAGAGACACAAAGAAAACTGGAGAAAGTAAGTGAAGAAATTCTGGATATAAAGGCACAATTGAAGTCCAAAACCAAAAGATCATCAAAAATGAACAGAAAATCCAGGAAATGGAAAACAAAACTGAGGACATCGATAAAAAGGTGGAAATGTTATTCCAAAAAAATGAAGAATTAGAACAAGCAAATCAAGAGCTAGAACGGGCAATGGCAATGGTGGAAATGGGAAAAGCAGAACACTATTTAAGATTCCAAAATATTCCTGAGGATAGAAAAGAAAACATAGCGATTGTGATCATTGAGCTGTTGGCGGAGGCCCTAAACGCAGATAGAGCAGAAATGCAAAACGAGATTGATGAAATATTTCACATGAATTTGAGCTATGCAAGAAAAAATAGACTACCAAGAGAAGTACATGTAAGGTTTATAAAGAAAACCACAAGAGATGAAGTACTGAGAAAAGTGAGAGAGGAACCATTACAATACAAAAATAAAGAAATTATGCTCCTAAAGCAGATACCCAAGAGAGTAAGGGATACTCGGAGACACTACCATTTTTTAACTACAAAGTTGATTGCCAAAGGCATAAATTTCAGATGGCTAATGCCGGAAAGCATTCTAATAAACTGGAACAACATAAGATATCGACTGGATTCAATTTGGAAAGCAGAGGACTTCGAAATAAGGAACAGAGCAACTCTGGATGAAGGACTGCACCAACAACAAGGGGAGAAGCAAACAGGAGAGACGGCCCAAGGAGCGACTGTACAAGCAGAACAACAGAAGGAGAAATATGAACAAGAGGGTGAAGGTGAAGAAATTGCCAGAGAACAAAGGATTACAAAATCAACTAGACCTAAATATAAATAATGGAAATGGAAATGGAGAAAGAAAATGAATTTTTTTCGCTAAATGTAAATGAACTAAACTCTCCATCAAAAGAAATAAAATCTTTAGGAAACTTCAGAAATTGAATATAGATATAATTTGCTTGCAAGAGACTTACATAAAAAACAACATCATAAACTATTGGAACACTCAAAAATTGGGAAGCTTTATTATACATCAGCACAACAACAAAAAAGAGGAGTTGCTGTATATGTTAAAGAGACAATAGATTCTAAATTAGTGTACTCAGATGAAGATGAAAGAATTGTGATGGTTGAAATATATCTATATCAAAAACAAACATTGTTAGTGGCAATCTACACTCCAAATAACAATCAAGAAGAATTTTATCAAAGCCTAGATAGGAAACTAATAGAAATGGAACACCAAAATATTTGTTTAATAGGGGATTTCAATGCAATAGTAGATAGAACAATGGATTACAAAAGCAATAAAACAGGAAAATCCACAAGAAGATTACCTAAGACATTTTTTTGATATGGCAGAGGAAATTGGAATACAAGATACCTGGAGTAAAATTAATCCACAAAATCTACAATATACTTTTTATTCAAATAGCCACAAATCCTGGTCAAGAATTGATATGATTTGGATGACATCTGAATTGAGGATGGATATACAGGAAATTGAGATAGAAATAGGTACACGGGCGAACCAAAATCCTTTAAAAGTGACATGGAAAGGAATACAAAAAAACCCAAGATGGACTTTAAACCAATCAGTACTAAAAGAAAAAGAATTTATAGAATTAGCGAAAAAAGAAATGGAGTTCTTCTTTAAAGAAAACAAAAAAGAAGATACATCATTACAAAACCTATGGGATGCAGCCAAAGCGTACTTCAGAGGCATAGCTATACCATATATGGCAAAGAAAAATAAACAGAGAAGACAGCAATATCTACTACAAAAAGCAAAATTTGGAAAGTTAGAAGCAGAACTACAAAAAACCCTACAAAAAAAGACCTTGAAAAGAGAAATGGAAATAATAAAACACAAATTAAATCTGTTGGACTCAGAAAAACTGGCAGATCAGATAAAGAGATAATGTTTTTTGAAAATGCTAATAAACCAGGAAGATGGTTAACTTAAAAAACAGAAGAAGAAAATAATACACAACTTAGTAGATGGAAAAGGTTGTCTACAATTAAAAAATGAAGAAATAAAAAAGATAATTAAGGAATACTATAGGAAATTGTATAATAAAGAACAGATTTCAAGAGAGAGAAGGGCTCAATATCTAGAAGAAAGTAAACTTCCAAAAATTCCAGAGGCATTTAAAACTACCGTAAATGCCAGCGTATAAGACTTCCGCGAGCACTGAAATCGGCGCCAAAGACGGGGGTCGTCTTATACGCTGAGTCGTCTTATACGCTGGAAATACTGGTAGTTTCCGGCGTATAAGACGACGTTCTAGGAATGCGGCCCGGCTATAAAGACGGGGGTCGTCTTATACGCCGGGTCGCCTAATACGCCGGCATATACGGTATGTTAGAAGAAAGGATTACAATGATGGAGATATCAGAGGCTATAAAATGACAAAAAAATGGGAAAACACCTGGCCCAGATGGGCTTCTGGCGGAGCTCTATAAAAATTTACAAGACGTATTAAGTGAACCGCTGAAAGATGTTTTTAATGGAGGCTAAGCTTCCAAATACAGTACATGGATAGAAGCAAATATTACTTTAATACCAAAAGAAGACACAGATTTGACTTATATTAAGAATTATAGACTGATTTCATTACTTAACGTGGATTACAAGATTTTTACTTCAATAATGGCAGAGAGACTGAAAAAATACTTAGTTGAATTCATACATCCAGATTAAAATGGCTTTTTACCAAACAGACAAATTAAAAACAATTTAAGAGTGATAATGGATGTATTAGAATACTATGAACTATGAACAGGGAAACAATTAGCATTAATATTTTTAGGTGCCCAAAAGGCATTTGACAACATTTCTTGGCAATTTATGACTCAACAACTACAAATAATGGACTTTGGAAAGAACTTTACAAATATGATAAAAGCAATATATGGCAACCAAACAGCAAAATGATTGTGAATGGAGACTGTACTGAGAGCTTTGAGATACGAAAAGACACAAGGCAAGGATGTCCATTATCCCCACTTTGGAAGTTCTAAATAGAAGGATTAGACAAGATGCAGAAATTAAAGGACTGAAGATAAAAGGCGAAACATACAAGTTACAAGCATGTTTATTTTAAACCTGAACTTTTCTTACTAGGTGTAATGCCTGAAAAGATTAATAAGCAAAGTCTATATTTGATTTTACACGTCACCACAGCAGCAAGAATAATCTTTGCGCAATATTGGAAGAACCATCAGAGGAAGAAATAATCAGAAAAATATTGGAATGAGCAGAGATGGACAGATTAACTATGAGATTGAAAGATAGACATAGATTACTACCAAAATTGGGACTTATTTTATTGTTGGCTAGAGGAAAGAATGAAGGATTAGGAATTGAATATGTATTAGCATAGCTGAGCCCAGACTGCTGGTTGGTTAAAAAATTAACATGTGTATGTAAAAGAAAATCAATAAAATTTTATTTAAAAAAAAGAAAAAATGAAGGGATAGAAATGGAATGAAGGGAACAAAAAATTGAATGAAAGGAAAGGAGAGAAAAAGTAATTCTGCAGGACAAGAATGGGCAGGGCAGGACAGGACAGGACAGGAAGAGAGAAATTCTGTTTGGATGTCAAATCATTAAATTCATCAGACAAGGAATCTTTTTCCAAGTAACAATAAATCTTCATGTTAATGTTCAAAAACATCCATGCAGTTCAGCAGTATGTCTGAAGCTATCTGCATATATTGTTGTTCTATTTTCAATAGCCTTTTCTATTTCTAATAGGAAGTATATCTCTCTGAGAAGAAATGAGTCTTCCTTAAATTTTCTGGTTAAATTCTATCCTGTTTAAGCCTCTGCTGGTTTAAAACATAGGCTTCCAAATTTGTTGTCCCAGTTGGCATAAAAATATCTCTTGTCTGTAATAAAATATACATTTCAGAACCAAAAGGGCCACAAAAAGGTGCTCGCATGAAGCAATCTACAAAAACATTTACAGTGACTTGAATATATGGAGGTTGTCTTATTAATCAATATTGTTTCTCTTTGAACTTCTGCACAGTTTTGCACTGGAGACAGAAGAGGGCAAATAAGTAAAACAAACGATTGAATTAATATAACTAGAAATCAACAACATATGCTTAGTAGTTTAGTTTTGGGTCTCATAGATGTTTTCTCTGTATGTTGTCAACATCTTCTATAATGGGTATAGATTCAATTATTTCCTTGTATTGTTGGAAGTAATCTCCAAGTGCAATCCTTTTGCTTATCAACAGACCACTGACCACATCACAGGATAAGTCCACAGCAACTTTAAAACTTGATTAAAAGAAATTATTATCTCTGACATTCTGATGCTTTTATGCACAACTTGCATTCTTAATGATTGCTAACAGGAGAGTACTTATGATCACCACACATCTATAATATTTACATGGGCACTGATACTGTAAGAAATTATTAAGATTACTCTTTTTTTAAAAAAATCATTCTCTTTTTAAATGGTAGCTTCTTTGCATTAAAGTAGAATCAGTTGTTTCATAGAAAAATATCTTAAACTTTAAATTAAAAAAATAGTGTTACTAAATAGTTATGTAGGACTATATGTGGTTTGTATGGATATAATTCAGCATATTTAAATCCAAATTTAGGAGAAGTCACATAAATAGGAGAGCAGAATATATTTGCCATGGGTGCCATCTGCTTACAGATCCCATGACTAAAGCTCTGTGCACCTCCTTTGGAGATAAACAAACATGATACCTATATACATCCTGTACATATTAGTTCACTGGTTAGCAGTTATTAGTCGTAGTGTACATAGGAAAACAACTTGATCATAATGATGTTAGATACCCTCAGCATAAAGTTAAGGTTTTAGTGTGATGGTGCAAACCCATGCAAAACAGGTTCCCTGTTTAGATATGTGGCCCAGTACACCAAGTTGAATGTGCCAAATAAAACTGGAAATACTATTCTGGACATTCTATCAATTTTGCTAACACTGTTAAATGTTTTCTTTGCTTCTTGTGGTTTGGTTTCTTGTTTGGCTTTGTGGGATTCTGAAATGGTAGTGGCACTCTTGGAGATGGTTGGGAGAACAGAGTCCTTGGTGATGTTTGGTCCATAATTGGCAACGGCCACTGCGTAGGCATTGTTTTTCTTAATGACTGAGGCTTTTTCTTTTTTCTGTTAAAAAATAATATTATTATTAAATATCTTCAATTTTTTCTGCACCAACAGACAAATCTATTTCATTCAATTCACAATAATTGTGCTTCAGATTGACCTCACTGACTATGGTACTGCCATTATAGAAAGTTTCATGGACTTTTGGCTAAGGCCATGTGTACTCTATGTGTGACTCTTCAATGGTGACATGATTCATTTCCTTCACTGTGATGGAACAATGCTGCTTTCATGCTGACCAAATTGGAAGCTTCTCTAGGTACCTATGCTTCAAAGTGAACCAACTCTTATGCAAGTAGGCAGAATATTTGTAATTATTATTTTGTAAAACAAATTATTCTGCAGTATCTAGAGATGGAGAAAATATCATAGATTTGTATTATTTATGTTGTGTTCTCCGTTCGCGGGTGAATGATGAAGACTCATGATGACAAACAACAATGCTTTATTCTCATACTCCAACTCCAAGCAAAGAAGCAAACGGCACGCAGGCTTTTTATAGGGCTTGAACCCCAGACAGAGTAAACCAATAAGAGTTCTTCTTTCTTTGCGCCTTGCGCATGCACGCAAGGCTGGCGCCACTCTGTCTGGTCCCAGGCAGCTTTTAGAATGCCAGGGACCATTTGTAACAATTCTGGGCCTGCTGAGTTTCCTCATCAGGCCCGGGACACAACACTCCTCCCCCCTGGATAGAACACACACAATTCCACTTCTTTACAATCATAATAAAATAAATCAAAATAAAATTATAGTCTGCTCACATGCAGACACCCTTCTTTTACTAACATAGTTAGCCAACCAAACCACTCTCTAATGTGGACTTCACGTGTCTATCTTTTACCCCACAAAGGTCCCATCTCCTCAACCTAGACATGTAAGGTCCCTTGTACTGACCTCACATATTCGCCTAGATGCTTAGGAAGGGCCTTAGCCCATTGTGACCTATGCAAGGTTAGGGAGGGTGCCTGGCCTGTCAGCTCACCTGCCCAGCTAGGCAGACCAGGACTTGTTCTTAAGGGTGCCTGGCCTACTGGCCCGTCTTTTGGGCTCGCTAGACCAGGACTTTTATGCACAAGTTTTGCAGGTGACCCCTGGTGAGACGTGCCGGCAGAATTGCCAGAGCTCTCCCCAGGTTCTGTGAGAGCAGCTGAAATTCCCCAACCCTCTGAGTTGGCTGAGGATTCCCCAACTACTCTGTATGGCTCCAGGGAACTTAGTCCCTTGAGCCCACAACCAGTCTCGGACGTGACCTGCATTGCAGGTGTGCCCCAATACTCCCAGTCCCCAGTGGCCGAGGTGCCAGCGTCAGGAGTCGCCTCATTAGCAGACCCTGTCTCAGATAAATTCCTGTTTGGAGCTCTTGTGGATAGGCAATAGCTGAACATAGCTGTTTGGAGCTCTTGTGGATAGGCAATAGCTCCTGTTTGGAGCTCCCTGTTCGGCACAATAGCTGAACTCTGAGAATGTCCTTGCACCTCCCCTGGGAAGTCCCTAGCGCCCTGCGGTACATCCCAGGAACAGTGAGGTTGTATCTCATAAGGTGTACCTGAAGTGTGAGATTGTGTCTCAGGAGGTGGACCTGAAGTGTGAGATTGTGTCTCAGGAGGTTGACCTGAAGTGCGACTTAATTCCTTGGCCCCCTCCCCCCAGAGAGCAGACGCAGGGGTGGAATCCACAGGGGACAACTGCTAACGCAGTTGATCGATGTGACGCTGCAGGACGCGGCCATCTCCCAAGGTCACTTCGTATGATAGAGGTCCAGAGATCTTACAGATGACAGCAGGAACCCACAGATGACCAGGAGCATAGTTCCTAGCCCAGACCAGATCACCCAACTGAAGTCTCCTTGGTGCCCGCGGATGTGACACCTGTGAAGCCACCCAGTCTGGGTGCAACCTGTCCAATTTAGTAATGAGTCTGCAACCCCAGCGGAGTTCAGCTGGGCTTTTCCCTGTGGTCGAGCAAGGTGTGGTGTGGTGTGCAAGAAGAAAATCAGCTAACCTGTGATGCCAGTTACTGTAAGTCAGTTTCTTGAGGGCATCTTTGGTGGTGCACACCATTCTCAGTTCGCTTATGGCGTCCTCTGCACCCAAAGCATTGAAGAGATGCTGGGGCCTTGACCGGACGTCCCTTCTGCCTCCTCTCAGCTGGCTGGTGAAGTCTGTCGACTTCCTCTTCAGGATCCACTTCTGATCCTTCTCGAGCGTCCTCTTGATGGACGGTAGCTGTTTCTGGAGGATTCCTGGAGAGGCGTAAGGCCTTCACAGCCCTGTCTGCTGCTTCCTCATCTGCCACCTCTCGCAACGCATCTTGGAAGGAGAAATCTTCTTTTGCAAAAATCTTGTAAGCCTCTGCTCCTTAAGCCACAGACAAAGTGATCTCGCAGCCTCTCTTCCAGATCCTTGAACTCACAAGGCCTGGCTGCTTGCCTTAAGGCCACAATAAAGTCTGCAGCAGATTCACCCGGCCTCTGGTCTCTCTGCTCGAACGTGTGCCTCCAAGCAATGACGGATAACTTTGGCTGGAAGTGTTCCTTCAACATTTTCTTTAAATCAGCATATGCTACTGACTCCAGAGGTGCAGGGACCACCAGATTTTCTGCGATGTCAAAAGCTTCTTGTCCACAGGCACACAGAAGAGTTGCTGCCTTCAGGCCGTCTTCTCTAATCTGATTTACTCTGAAGTAATTCTCCACCTATGCTACGTAGGAATTCCATCTCTCTGGGTGGGAGACATCGAAATCAGTCAAGCGGCCAATCTTCGACATCGTAAAGTTTACGATCTTCACTACTCGCTTTCCTCTACAAGCTGCTGTTCGGGGAAAGGGTCTTTTAGCCGAGCTCACCCTCCAGCGATGCTATACTGGCAGGCTGGGACGCTGATTCAGGCGCCGACTTCCCCTCTTCAGGACTTCCTGGTAAGACTTTAAATCTTTTTCTTCAGCTTGCAAGGATCCCACCTTCATCGCCGGTGTTGTGTTCTCCATTCGCGGGCGAATTATGAAGACTCATGATGACAAAAAACAATGCTTTATTCTCATACTCCAATTCCAAGCAAAGAAGCAAAAGGCACACAGGCCTTTTATAGGGCTTGAACCCCGGACAGAGTGAACCAATAAAGAGTTCTTCTTTCTTCGTGCCCTGCGCATGCGCACAAGGCTGACGCCGCTCTATCTGGTCCTGGGCAGGTTTTAGAATGCCCGGGCCCATTTGCAACAATTCTGGGCCTGCTACAACAATTCAGGCCCAGGACACAACAATTTCATTCTGCATAGATATATTATTTGTTGCTATACTTCAAGAAAAGGAGTAAGTTAGAAGATCTGCATGGTAACTAGCACCTGCAATGATGAGAAATACCTTTCTTTCTTTCTTTCTTTCTTTCTTTCTTTCTTTCTTTCTTTCTTTCTTTCTTTCTTTCTTTCTTTCTTTCTTTTTCTTTTTTTCCCTTTGTTCTTCACTATAAGAACAGCACAATATGGAAATGGTTGGAATTGCTTTCTTTCAGGATGTTTTTTGCAACTTGAGTCAGCTCTAGAATTTTGTGGTTGTCTCTCAATTGCTAACTAGGTCTGAACCTGCTTAGTTTTCCAAGGCTAGTCAAAGCTCTTTTGGAAGAATGGCAGAATAAATTTCATCTGTTCTTGTTGCTTGTAACTTTCTGGAGCTCTTCTACTAAAAGACCTTGAAACAATTGGTGGTGAGGAAGAATGGAAGAACCATCAACTAAACTGGAATTGAGCTATCTGTAAGGACCCACCCCACTTTGCATCTTAAGAAGACAGAACTCTTGGAATAATTCTTCCAACAGGAATCCTTTATTAAGAAGAAGTGGTTGCAGGCATGCTAGACAGGACTTGGGGTCCAAGCTCTCCCATTCAAGGTTTTAAGGAGTTCCCCAAGAGTCCCACCCAATCACCCCCCCCTTCCAGTGATAGTTTCAGGCATCACAATTTCACCCCTTTGATCCTCTCTTCCGTCTGGATGGAGACTTCAGATAAACTACATGAAAGGTAAATAGCCCCTTTTGTCATAGTAAGGTTCTTTGGTGCTATTTATATTCAAACCCTTTGAGGTTGCAATAAACACATTCAAATCCTTAGAGGTATACTGAAGGAAGTGAGGGCCATAAAGCCCCTTTGTTCTCCCCCTTCTCTCCCTCTTATGGCAGAATCCAGAGAAGGCAGAATTGGGGTTTTCTATATTTGATGATTAAAGATGAAATATAATTGGATTCTGACATCCGGCACCTCTTAAAAATAAGAGAGATCCACCTGAAAGAAAACAAAACAGGTATAAAACTTAGTCAGGCTTGTTAGGATACTCTGTGTGAAACTTCTTCAATAGCTTCAGGGCTCTGACATGACGTTTATGGACCCACTCATTTTGTGAGGGAGGTAGGTGTTTCCAGGCAACTAGGTACTGAGTTGCCCCATGATATCTCCTAGAATCAAGGATTTCTTTTATTTCGAAGTGTTGTTCACCCTCCACCATGACTGGAGGTGGTGGTGGGGGGGGGATTTTTGGCCGTAGAGTGACTGATGCTCTCTTTTCAGCAAGCTGCAATGAAAAATTGGGTGTATTTGCCTGAGATTTTTGGGTAATTCTAATTCTACTGTTACTGGATTTATGATTCTTTTAATTGGAAAAGGTCCTATATATTTTGGTCCAAGTTTTTTACAGGGCTGTAGGGACTTTAGTTATTTTGTAGATAAGTACACCATTTCTCCTATAATGAATGGTGTAGGCTCAACCCTTTTTTTATCGGATTGTGTTTTGTATGCCTGCCTAGCTTCATCTAGTGCTTTTCTGACTATTGGCCAGGTGTTTTGTAGTTTCTCCATCCATTCTTTCAGCGAAGGGATCGTTGGGTCGTTTGGGGTTAATTCTGGCATGGGGTTGAAACTTTGACTGGTGGCTATTTGAAAAGGAGTGTAACCTGTGCTGGAGTGGACTGCATTATTGTAGGCAACTTCTGCAAAAGGGAGTAAGTCTGCCCAC